ATATATGGCTATCCTATCTCCTTTCAGCCTTCTCTTCTTCAGGCTAAACATGCCCAGCTCCTTAAGTCACTCCTCATAGGGCTTGTTCTCCAGACCCTTGATCATTTTAGTCGCCCTCCTCTGGACACATTCCAGCTTGTCAATATCTCTCTTGAATTGTGGTTCCCAGAATTGGACACAATATTCCAGGTGTGGTCTAACCAGAGCAGAATAGAGCATGGGTAGCATGACTTCCTTAGGTCTAGACACTATGCTCCTCTTGATGCAGGCCAAAATCCCATTGGCTTTTTTTTTGCCACCACATCACATTGTTGGCTCATGTTTAACTTGTTGTCCACGAGGACTCCAAGATCTTTTTCACACGTACTGCTCTTGAGCCAGGCCTCATTGTCCCCCATTCTGTCTCTTTGCATTTCGTTTTTCCTGCCAAAGTGGAGTATCTCGCATTTGTCCCTGTTGAACTTCATTTTGTTAGTTTTGGCCCATCATCTCTCTAATCTGTCAAGATTGTTTTGAATCCTGTTCCTGTCCTCTGGAGTATTGGCTATCCCTCCCAATTTGGTGTCGTCTGCAAACTTGATGATCCTGCCTTCTAGCCCTTCATCCAAGTCATTAATAAAGATCCTGAGCAGGACCGGGTCCAGGACGGAACCCTGCGGATGGCACTCTGCTCGTCACTTCTTTTCAGGATGAAGAGGAAGCCTTGGGGAGAATCACCCTCTGGGTTCGTCCATTTAACCAATTACAGATCCACCTCACCGTAGTTTTGCCTCGCCCACATTGGACTAGTTTCCTTGCCAGAAGGTCATGGGGGACCTTGTCAAAGAAGGCCTTCCTGAAATCCAGGTACGCTACATCCACAGCATTCCCCGCATCTACTCAGCTTGTAACTCTATCGAAAAAAGGGGTTTCCATAAGTTGAAGTCGACGTGATGATGGCTCTTCACAAATTGTGCAGCTGTAAATAATGGATTAAAGCCTCCTGTTGTTTTGGTTGACAACTACGGATTCTGTGATTTTATTAAAATGGTGTGCAAGAAGAAGGTCAGATGTTAAATTGTACTCTGCTGAAAAGCAGATAAGCTGCACTCTGCAGTGAATGGACTCTGGGATCTTTGCTTGTTGCTGTGGCATTTGTCAACCCAGTGTGCAGCGTTTAAGGTATTTTTATTTTTTATTTATTTGTCGTGTCAGGGCAACCAGTCAATTATATTACATTTCTAACAGAACAAAGCAAACAAACAGACAAAATACAAAATTTGTGGTTTGATAGTTGATTAAATGTCCTTTGACCAGTAGCTGGCCCCTTGAAGTGCCTCTGGTGTTGCTGCAAGAAGGTCCTCCCTTGTGCATGTGGCAGGGCTCAGGGTGCATTGCAGCAGGTGGTCAGTGGTTTGCTCTTTTCCACACTCGCATGTCGTGGATTCCACTTTGTGGTCCCATTTCTTGAGGTTGGCTCTGCATCTTGTGGTGCCAGAGCGCAGTCTGTTCAGCGCCTTCCAAGTCGCCCAGTCTTCTGTGTGCCCAGGGGGGAGTCTCTCATTTGGTATCAGCCATTGGTTGAGGTTCTGGGTTTGAGCCTGCCACTTTTGGACTCTCGCTTGCTGAGGTGTTCCAGCGAGTGTCTCTGTAGATCTTAGAAAACTATGTCTTGATTTAAGTCGTTGACGTGCTGGCTGATACCCAAACAAGGGATGAGCTGGAGATGTCTCTGCCTTGGTCCTTTCACTATTGGCTGCTACTTCCTGGCGGATGTCAGGTGGTGCAATACCGGCTAAGCAGTGTAATTTCTCCAGTGGTGTAGGGCGAAGACTGTTAATGCGGCATGTCTCATTAAGAGCTACATCCACTGTTTTAGCGTGGTGAGATGTGTTCCACACTGGACATGCATACTCAACAGCAGAGTAGCATAGCGCAAGGGCAGATGTCTTACAAGAAGCACTGCCTGAACATCAAGCAAAAAGTGGGTGCTAAAAACAATATCATACGAAAGCTGACTGGCACAACCTGGGGATCACAACCAGACACAGTGAAGACATCTGCCCTTGCGCTATGCTACTCTGCTGCTGAGTATGCATGCCCAGTGTGGAACACATCTCACCACACTAAAACAGTGGATGTGGCTCTTAATGAGACATGCCGCATTATCACGGGGCGTCTGCGCCCTACACTACTGGAGAAACTTCACTGTCTAGCCGATACTGCACCATGGGGTTGGACTGGATGGCCCATGAGATCTCTTCCAACACTGAATCTATGGTTCAATGATTAATCATCAGACAATTGGATCCATTTCTGCCAACGATGATCAAGTTTTCTGAAGCCGTCATGGAAGAAGTCGACATTCTGTTTCCGCAACCAGCATCTCACAGTTCTCTCATCCTGGGTACCCATTGTGCACAGATCTTCCGATAGCCAAGCAAAGCAATAATGTGACCTGCACGTTTATGCCAATTATGCTTGAAATTTCCTGCTTCTTGGCAGAATGGGGTTGGACTGGATGGCCCAGGAGGTCTCTTCCAACTCTTTGATTCTATGATTCTGTCGCCTTCCCTTCTTCCCTTGCCTCCTTTTGCTTCGTATTTTCAACCCAGCTTAACCTTGCCAAGGGATTGATTTTTCACTCTGGGCTCCCCATCCAGGTTATGGCCCTCTTTGCTCCAGAAACAAGATGTTTCTCTAAGTTTATGTCTCCATTAGAAATTCTCTGGGAAGCAGCTGGAGGCCGCAGGCCGGATGGTTCATGTGCTTCCTTTTTACGGCGCTGTCTGTCTGGCAGCGGAAACCCAGGGAGGGAGAGCAAGGGAGCACCGCCTCGCCTTCTTCTTCTTCGTTATCACCTCGGCTTTATTATAGAAGCAGAGTAAATTGCTTTTGTTTGAAGTGGCGTAATGGTCAGGAAAAGCCACAGTGTGGAAATGACATTTTCCATGCCGCCTATTTATGCTCTGCCGGGGCTTTGCATATTAAGTGGGCCTTGTTTGCAAAAGGGAAAAAAAATGCACACTCCCAACAAAAGGCGAAAAAAAATGTACAAAAATAAATCAGAATCAAAGCTTGCGCTGGAATTCGTTAAGGACGTCTTTCCGCCAGCCGGCCTCCCAGGCTTCTGCATTTTGGAACAGCAGCCGTGCAGAATCAGAAAGGCCTGGAACAGCAAATTCTGGAATCCGGGGCAAAGCTGACAAGAGAGAGATGAGGGAGTCTTAGAGTCTGGAAAATACTCCCAAAGGCCATCTAGTCCAACCCCATTCCGCCAGGCAGGAAGACACAATTGCATTGGCTTTTTCAAGCTGCCGTATTGCATTGCATGTGATAGAATCTTAGAAGAATGCTAGAATCCTAGACTCCAAGAGTTGGAAGAGACCTCCTGGGCCATCCAGTCCAACCCCATTCTGCCAAGAAGCAGGAATATTTCATTCAAATCATCCCTGACAGATGGCCATCCAGCCTCTGTTTCAAAGCTTCCAAAAAAGGAGCCTCCACCACACTCCGGGGCAGAGAGTTCCACTGCTGAACGGCTCTCACAGGAAGTTCTTCCTCATGTTCAGATGGAATCTCCTTCCTTTCCTGTATACTACTACTTAGAATACTAATACTAGATATACTAATACTAGAATAGAAATCCTACTTAGAATCATAGAATCAAAGAGTTGGAAGAGACCTCATGGGCCATCCAGTCCAACCCCATTCTGCCAAGAAGCAGGAATATTGCATTCAAATCTCCCCTGACAGATGGCCATCCAGCCTCTGTTTAAAAGCTTCCAAAGAAGGAGCCTCCACCACACTCCGGGGCAGAGAGTTCCACTGCTGAACGGCTCTCACAGTCAGGAAGTTCTTCCTAATGTTCAGATGGAATCTCCCCTCTTGCAGTTTGAAGCCATTGTTCCACGTCCTAGTCTCCAAGGAAGCAGAAAACAAGCTTGCTCCCTCCTCCCTGTGGCTTCCTCTCACATATTTATACATGGCTATCATATCTCCTCTCAGCCTTCTCTTCTTCAGGCTAAACATGCCCAGCTCCTTAAGCCGCTCCTCATAGGGCTTATTCTCCAGACCCTTGATCATTTTAGTCGCCCTCCTCTGGACACATTCCAGCTTGTCAATATCTCTCTTGAATTGTGGTGCCCAGAATTGGACACAATATTCCAGATGTGGTCTAACCAGAGCAGAATAGAGCATGGGGAGCATTACTTCCCTAGATCTAGACACTATGCTCCTCTTGATGCAGGCCAAAATCCCATTGGCTTTTTTTGCCGCCACATCACATTGTTGGCTCATGTTTAACTTGTTGTCCACGAGGACTCCAAGATCTTTTTCACGCGTACTGCTCTCGAGCCAGGCATTCCCATTCTGTATCTTTGCATTTCGTTTTTTCTGCCAAAGTGGAGTATCTTGCATTTGTCCCTGTTGAACTTCATTTTGTTAGTTTGGCCCATCTCTCCAATCTGTCAAGATCGTTTTCAATCCTGCTCCTGTCCTCTGGAGTATTGGCTCTCCCTCCCAATTTGGTGTCGTCTGCAAACTTGAAGAACCGCAAGGCCATCCAGTTCAAGCCCTTTCTGCCAGGGAAGAAGACACAATCCAAGCCTTCCCCACAGATGGCCAGCCATCCACATTCAGCTTTGGCCAGTGGGTTGCTGTGAGTTTTCCGGGCTGTATAGCCACGTTCCAGCAGCATTCTTTCCTGATGTTTCACCTGCATCTGTGGCTAATGGCATCTTCAGAGGTTATGTGTGAATGAGGCAAATGGAGTGTATACATATCTATGGAATAATGCCCAAAGTATTTTATTATTTTAAGTCATTTTAATTGACTTGTATGTTCCATTCTATCTTAATATTTGCATTTTAAATTGTATTCCTTTTTTTTTTTAATGTCGGGAGCCTCTTTGCATCTTAACCAAGAGATAAAAGCAGGATGATAAGGATAATAATAATATCCACTAAATGCAGGATAGTATGTCCCCTCCTGCTCAGTGACAAAAGAAACTCCACACAATATTTAAATGGCAAAGTTATTAGAAACAGTTGGTATCCCATGACTGCCAAGATAAATGAGATTAATGAGGTACAGAATTTGCAAAACTGCTCATGAGAAATGAACAGGAGCGGAGCGAGATGGTACCGTGCATGACAAAGGGGCTAATGCACAAAGTGTTGTGCAGACCAGAGGTCATTATCTATTTGCCAACTGCTTGTGAAAGAAACCAGTCCAGCGTTTCTCTTGCTCCACAAGAATCCCCCGAGTCCTCATGGGAGCAATGGGGCAGGTCTTGCAATCAGTGGCCTTAAGTGAAGAAGACAGCATTTTGCACATGGTGGACACGTGGTTATGAAGTTACAACTCAGCATATGAGTTGTTCAAGCCAGTTTTTGACCCTCAATGGCCAAGATCTTGGGGCCAAATGGAAGAAATTGAGATCCCTTCACCACCAAAGTTGCAATGACCAGCAGGATGGCTAAGACTCTCAGAAATACACTATAGAACACAGAGCAATTGTGTTCCAAGGCAGGTGAGGATCTGTTAGGCTTGAAGGCCACCAAGAACCTTCTGCAAACAAATCCAAGAGCTTTGTCCCCTCAAAATTATATGGAAACATTTGACCAGATGACTCTTCTAGATGCTCAAAAATGCCCATAACTGCAATGCGGAGCAACTGCGTTAGAGGACAGACTAACCTTGGAGGTTCAAGGAACCCTTTACAACTAAGTCTAAGAGCTTTCTTCTTAAGGGAGAACTGCAGGATTGCATGGAAGTGTTTGGCCAGCAGGATCACCAAGACTCTCAGAAATGTAAACAATGGTGGACGTGTATTCCAAAATAGGTGAGGATCTGCTAGGCTTGGAGACCATGAAGAAGGTTCAAGGAAAGTTCAAAGAACCTTCTATAACCATGTCTAACCACTCCCTCCCCAGTGGAGCCCTTCAGAGGTTGCTCCATCCATCTGTAACTCTGGTTTATTCCCTTTTCAGAGCCCCCCTCCCCATCTCTTTCTGGTCCTTCTCAGGTTCTTCTGCCTCCTTCTGGTCCAGGTGTTTTGTCCACTTTGCCTTCTTCCACGGCTCAAGGGTGTCCTTCAGGGTCTTTCTTCTCCCCCTCCTTCTCTTCTATGCAGCTCCTCCAACAGCCGCTGTACGTTGTCAGTGAACTCATGGCGCTTCTTGCCCATCCCGCGGAGTTTAATGGGCGCCAGGTCCGGATGTGGAGGCTGGAAGGCCTGAGGGCACCAGACATTGCAGAGGAAGAGCCAGGTGGCATCGGGGTCCATCTGCATCAGGTAGAGGAAGACGCTGCAAGACATCAAAGCGAAAGCAGAGTGAAAAACAGGAGGGGATAAAAGAAAAGGGGAAAGGGCAGGAAGGGTGGATCACTGTTTCCTGAAATCCTTTACGAGTGCCAATTCACCTTCTGACTGTTAGGAATATTGGGTATCTATAGCAGAGCAGAGTGCACCATAGGAAGCTTGGGTTGTTGTAGGTTTTTTCGGGCTATATGGCCATGTTCTAGAGGCATTTTCAGCCAATAGTGAAAGGACCAAGGCAGAGACATCTCCAGCTCATCCCTTGTTTGGGTATCAGCCAGCACGTCAACGACTTAAATCCAGACATAGTTTTCTAAGATCTACAGAGACACTCACTAGAACACCTCAGCAAGCGAGAGTCCAAAAGTGGTAGGCTCAAACCCAGAACCTCAACCAGTGGCTGATACCAAATGAGAGACTCCCCCCTGGGCACACAGAAGACGGGGCGACTTGGAAGGCGCTGAACAGACTGCGCTCTGGCACCACGAGATGCAGAGCCAACCTTCGGAAATGGGGCCACAAAGTGGAATCCTCGACATGCGAGTGTGGGGAGGAGCAAACCACTGACCACCTGCTGCAATGCAACCTGAGCCCTGCCACATGCACCAGGGAGGACCTTCTTGCGACAACACCAGAGGCACTCCAAGTGGCCAGATACTGGTCAAAGGACATTTAATCAACTACCAAACTCACACATTTTGTATTTTGTCTGTTTGTTTGCTTTGTTCTGTTAGAAATGTAATATAATTGACTGGATGACACGAGAAATAAAGAGGCATTTTCTCCTGATGTTTCGCCTGCACCTATGGCAAGCATCCTCAGAGGTAGTGAGGACCTCACTAGGGAGCTTATTTGTAGGCAACAGGAGGGGAAATATGAAGGATGCTTTGGTAAAGTTCAAAAAGTTCAAAAAAAGAAGAAGGTAAAAACATAATTTTACTGTTGCAGGAAATGCATCTCTGTATAAAAGGAGTAGACTGACAAATGAAAGTTACCTAACTTTGGTAGATGAGTCCCTAATGCTGCCTGCCATGACTCTGGCGTGGGATGCTGGTCTGTAAAATGATGTATAGTTTCCAAATTGTGACCTCCCTGAACCTCTGCAAGCTGCATATCAAGTGTCCCAGAAGCAAGCAAAACACAGCAGAGTCTAGTCACAGAAAACATATGTGCTTCATCCTGTCTTATTAGCAACGTCCAACTGCTAGCACCTGAACTTACCTACACATTGTTTAGTAAACTCGCGGATTAAGGTTTTCATCCAAAATATTTGGAGGATTTAATCTTCACTAATGCAATATATACAAATATACAATTAGGATTTGCAGATCCACATTGCTTGTATTTGCAAACAATCAAAGTCATCAGATAGTCACATACAGAATAGGCAAATACTCACAAAGAGTCAGAAAGGAGAGAGAAAGATGGATTCCTTCATCCTCCTTATCTAGCCACATGCTGATAGGTCATCAGTAAGGGACACTGGTTAATGCAACCCTTTTGCAATAGCCCTCACATAGTTATGACTCAGCCATTACCACATTTCTTTAGGTATCGCATCATGGCATTTACAGTCATACCCAAGTGCAAGATACTCCACTTTGGAAGGAAAAACGAAATGCAGATACTGTCAGGAGAACTGTAAAAATGTGCAAAATTTTATCTGTTCATTGTATGTATTTGGGTTATGTATGTATAAGTAAGTTTGTATCTTTAATTGCTGAAATGCTTGTGATGTGGTTTTGGTTAATTGGGTGCAGGTGGATCTAATTACTGTGGTTATAATGTGTTGCATCTGCCTGCAGCCAGCAGCAGCCTTCAGCAGCTTTCAGCGTCCCTCAGCGTTCTGCTATTGCTATAGCCTTGAGCTTTTGGAGAAGCTATGGCGTTTTGGAGTTTGGGACTCTAAATGTTTTGTTTAGGGTCTGATATCTGATGCAAGATGTTTGTTTTCTTACTTTTGATGTTTTCCACTATGAATTTATAATAAAGAAAGACTCTGCTAACAGGTTATGGGCCCAGAACGCTGCATAATGCGCATGTCTGAGGTAAATATGTGGTGGAACATTAAGAAGTTTTTGAAGGCATTTTTTGTTGGAATCTTCTGTTCCTGGCTGTTTTGATCAGCAGTGAGGTTTAAAGTGATGGCTTGCTGCTGTACACTAAACCTTGGAGGATTTGCCTTCAGAGAAATCAAGAAGATTTATGGCTTGCTATGTTGGAAAATTTGCCTTCTACGTGCCTGAGCAGCAAGGGCCAACTAAGTTGCTTTCCTGTCTTGCCTTGCACAGAGGTGTTTTCAACAAAAGTTTCAGAAGCCTAAAGAAGAAGAAAACAGTTTGTGTGTCAGACCCTGTGTTTGGATTCCAGAGAATTACTGCAAAGATATTGGACTGCTAGAAGCCAATTTTACTTGAAGTAGTGAATATAAATTGGCTGAGCTTAAACCCGGGTGTACTGGGGGTCTTTTCTTTTGGTGCAGTGAGTATTTTTGTTTCTGGACTTTTTGGGACTTTAAAGTGAAATACCACAATGGCTTTGCCGCCTCTTCAAGTTGGTTCACTCCCTTTTGATAAACTTTCTGAAAGTAACTGGCTCAGTTGGAGCGTCAGATTTAAAGCTTTTCTTGTTTCTCAGAATTTATGGGACATAATTGAGAACTTGCCAGCTCAATTAACTCCTGCGGATCAACATAAAGATGAAAGAGCTTTGGCACTTCTTCAATTGTCTGTGTCAGATTCTTTGTTGGTGCATCTTCATAATATTCTGCATGCGCAAACTGCGTGGAATTTGTTTAAAGATATGTTTCAGAGACAATCAAGCGGTTCGAAGATAATTCTTATGAGGCAGCTGTTTAATCTCAAACATGAGGAGGGCTCTCCAGTTCAAACTCATGTTACAAGAGTTGTGGCTCTTTTTTCGGAGTTGAGAGCAAGAGACATTATTTTTCCCCCTGAGCAACAAGCGTTAATCTTGATGGGATCTCTATCTCGCCCTTTTTATGCGTTCATGGACTCTCTTCATGGAATTCCTGACAGGGATCTCACGATACCTTTTATTTCAGGAAAAATTATGGAATTTGAGGCTCAACGCAAATTGAGGAGTTTTGCTCCTATACAGAAAAGTTCAAGTTCTGGGACTGCTTCTAATGACACTGCTTGTGTTGCTAAGCCAAAATCGCAAATTGTGTGCTTTAAATGTAAAAAGAAAGGGCATTATGCTAAGAATTGCAAACAGAATCAAGGACAATGGAGAAACAAGCAAGTGGAAAGACCTAGTTCTTCAAAGGACTTACAGCATGCTTTCCTGGTGACCTCTAAGAAGGATATAATGAACTCTTTTATTATAGATTCAGGCTGTTCTCAGCATTTGGTAAAAACTAAAGAACTGTTGACAAATGTGAGAGACTCTGATATAAATTTTATTTCTTTAGCTGATGATAGAAAAGTTAAAGTATTTTCTTGTGGTGATCTTTATATTGACAGTCTGAAATGTACTCTTGAGAATGTGTACTATGTACCCAATATTATGTATAATATTCTCAGTGTTAACAAACTTCTAGATGAAGATTTTGAGATTTCTTTGAAGAAGGATAAGTCTAAGTTAATTGACTTTCAAGGTAATGAAGTACAGCTGAGACAAGAGAAGGGATTTTTTGTTTTAAAGTCTGCTAAAAATGTGTCAGCTTGCATTAAGCAGATACCTGATAATCCCAGGCCATTACACGACAAATGTATTCATGAATTTCACAGGAAAATGGGTCATTTGTCATGGCAGTATCTAAGACAAACAGCTGAGTTGTGTAAAATTCCTATTCAAGGATGTAAGAATTTTCTAGATTGTGAAATTTGTGCAGCAGAAAATCTTAAGAAAGCTCCTATAGCAAAATACAGTGCTAGAGTTTCAAAAAGGATCTTAGAGCTTATACATATTGATGTATCTGGTCCTCATCCTACTTCTGTAGGCGGGTCAAAATATTTTTTGATTTTGGTGGATGATTTTTCTAGGTTGAAATTCACCTTCTTTCTAAGAACTAAAGGTGAAGTTTTTCAGAAAATTTCTGCTTGGCTGAAGCTAATGCAAACACAGTTTCCTGAGTATCCAGTACAGGCTTTTCAAAGTGATCGTGGTGCAGAGTTTATGTCCAAACAAATGAAACATTTGCTTGAAAAGTTTGGCATAGTTCACAGGTTAACAAATCCTTACTCACCTAGTGAAAATGGGGTTGCAGAAAGGTGGATAGGTGTTCTAAAAATTGTAGCTAGAAAAATGTTAAGAGATGCTAATTTATCTGATGGATTGTGGGCTGAAGCTGTGGCAAATGCTACTTTTGTGCTCAATCGTTCTTTTTGCAAAAGTGTCAATAGTATTCCTTATTTATTGTTTTTTGGGAAAACTCCTGATTTGAGTTCAATCAGAGTTTTTGGAAGTGACTCATATGTCTTAATTCCTTCTCAACAAAGACATAAGAAGGATTCTATTTGGAAGAAATTGAAATATCTAGGCCCTGCTTCTGAGTCAAAAGGTTGGAGATTTTGGTGTGGTAATAATAGGGTGTTAGTTTCTAAAAGTGTAAAGTTTCAACAACACAGTGGTTGGGAAAGGATTCATTCAAATAAGGAAGTGTTTCTGCCTTTCAGTACTACTCAAATGCACACACCACTAACCACACAGCAAGTTTCACAGCGGCCTGCTACACAAGTGCAATCAGTTTCACAACAGACTGCACAGCAAAATATACAACCAAGCACATCTCATGATACACATTTTGGTTCACAAGTGCAAGTGAAGCAAGAATCTGTTTCTAGTCAGTTACAAAGCAGTAGTCCTGTAATTAAAAGGACAGAATCTCAGAAGAGAAAAGCTGAAGCTGAATCCTCTAGTTCACAAAGTACTAGCTCTAGTAATTCAGAGACTGATGAGACTGATGGAGGAGATAGTACTAGGACCATTCCTAGACGTAGTTCTAGGATAACTAAGGGTATACCT